AATCCTTTTGTTTTCAATTTCATTTAATTCTGCTCTAATTTTGGTTATTTCTTTTCTTCTGCTGGGTTTTGGGTTGGAGTGTTCTTCCTTTTCCAGTTGCTTGAGGTATCCCATTAAGTTGTTAACTTCTCTTTCCGTTTTCTTGAGGAAGGCTTGCAGTGCGATAAGTTTTCCTCTTAGGACTGCCTTTGCGGTATCCCAGAGGTTCTGATAACTCGTCTCTTCATTGTTGTTTAATTCCAGGAATTTGGTAATTTCCTTCTTGATCTTGTCTTTGACCCAAGTGTCATTGAGCATAAGGTTATTTAGCTTCCATGATTTTGTTTGAGTCTGCAAGTTCCTATTGTTTCTGAGTTCAACTTTTATTCCGTGGTGCTCTGAGAAGATGCAAGGGATAATTTCTATTTTTTAAAATTTGCTGAGGTTAGACTTATGACCTAGGATGTGATCTATTTTGGAGTATGTTCCATGGGCTGATGAATAAAATGTGTACTCAGTTTTATTAGGGTGAAATGTTCTATAGATGTCCGTTAAGTCCAGATGCTGAATGGTTAGGTTTAAACCTAGAATTTCTTTGCTAAGCTTCTTGTTGGATGATCTGTCCAGCACTGCCAAAGGGGTATTAAAATCTCCGACTATGATGGAGTTGGGAGTAATCAGGTTGCTCATGTCTGTTAAAGTGTCTCTTAAAAATTGGGGTGCGTTCTGATTGGGTGCATAAATATTGATAATTGAAATCTCATCATATTGAGTACTACCCTTAACAAATATAAAGTAACCATCATTGTCCTTGCTCTCTTTTGTTGGTTTAAAACTGATTATATCTGCAAATGGTATTGCAACACCTGCTTTTTTCTGCTTTCCATTAGCCTGGAAAATAGATGACCGTCCCTTCACCCTCAGTCTATGCTTGTCTTTTAAAATAAGGTGCATTTCTTGGATGCAGCAGATATCTGGCTTGAGTTTTTGTATCCAGTCAGCCTGCCTGTGTCTCTTTAGAGGACCGTTTAAGCCATTTATATTGACTGAGACTATTGATAATCCTGGCATAATTTTGGGTGTCGAGTTTTTTGAAGGTTCATTGGACATCTTTGATCCTTTTGTTGCTGTGGAGATTGGAATTTAGTCAAAATTTTCTGGGTGGGTTTATTTATGTGGTGGAGGATTGCGTTGATCCTTATGGAGGATAGGTTTGAGGATATCCTGGAGGGCTGGTTTAGTAATGGCAAATTTCTTCAACATGTGAATATCATTAAAGTATTTAATTTCTCCATCATAAATGAAGCTCAGTTTAGCTGGATAGAGGAGTCTGGGTTGAAAGTTGTTTTGTTTTAGGAGGTTGAAGGTCGGTGACCACCCTCTTCTAGCCTGAAAAGTTTCAGCAGAGATATCTGCAGTCATTCTAATATTCTTCCCCTTATAGGCTAATGTTTTCTTGCGTCTAGCTGCTTTCAGGATTTTCTCTGTCATGTTAACTTTGATGAAGTTGATTATGATATGCCTGGGGGATGTCTTGTTCAGGTGGAGTCGTGCCTGGGTTCTGAAGCTGTCTGCTATCTGAATTTCAGGATCCCTTGGCATGTCTGGAAAGTTCTCTTTCATAATTTCGTTAAGGAGTGCCTCTGTGTTTTGTGAAGCAACTTCGTCACCTTCAGGGATTCCTATAAGTCGAATATTAGTTTTCTTCTGTTTTTTTTCTCCATTTGTCAAAATCTTTGGAAGTCTGGGAACTTCAAAGTCTTTGTCTTCAGTGTCAGAGATCCTATCTTCTGCCTTGTCCATCCTCTGACGGAAGGATTCAACGGTGCTCTTCAAATCTGCAACCTCTTGTTTCAGTGTATCGTAATCCTTGATGATTTTATCTTTGAAATCATTGAATTCCTGGGACAGCTTTTGAATGATTTGAAATTCTAGCTCCCTCTTTTCCTCCAACCTGTTGATCTTATTCCCTATCCAGATTCTGAACTCAATTTCTGACATTTCAGATATCTGTTTATGTAGTGGGGCTTCCATTGTGTCTACCCCATCCTTCTTTGGGGGAGTTAATCTACTCTGGTTATTCTGGGTGCCAGAGTTTTTCCGCTGATTCCGTCCCATGTTGTATTTGCACCTTTCGGAAACTGTCCCTAAAACTGTTCTGCCAGTGGCTTCTTCTAGTTTTCTCCTGTGCACAACCCGGCAAGGCCCCGGGAGGCGGAGCCAGCAGGCGGGGTGATGCAGCCCACCCCTGCAGGAGTCAGTGCTGCCGTCAAGGCCATGGGAGGCAGGCGCAACCTGCCCCTGTGGAGGTCAGTTGTCCTTACTGAGGACCAAAGCCCCAGAGGCAGATGCATGGCTGGCGGGATGGCGCGACCCTCCCAAGCAGGAGCTGCTGGCGACCACAAGCTGGTAAGGCCCCGGGAGGCAGGCACGCGGCTGCATGACCTGCCCCAGCAGAAGTCAGTTGTCCTTGTAGGCCATCAAAGCCTCAGAGGCGGGCCCTGCAGCTGGTGGGATGGCGAGACCCTCTCCTGCAGGAGTTGGCGGTGATCACGCGCTGGGAGGTCCTGAGAGGCAGGCGCACATCTGCTGCGACCTGCCCCAGCAGAAGTCAGCTGCCCTCACAGGCTGTCAAGCCCCAGAGGTGGGCGCGCCACTGGCAGGATGGCGCTACCCTCCCCAGCAGGAGCTGCTGGTGACCGCAGGACGCATCCAACAAGACCCCCGGGAGGTGGGAGCGAGACTGTGCGACCCACTCAGCAGAAGTCAGTTGCCCTCACTGGCCACCAAAGCCCCAGAGGCTGGCCCGTGACTGGCAGGATGGCAGGACCCTCTCAGGCAGAAGCTGGTGGTGATCAAGGGCCATGGGGCCCCAGGAGGCAGGCATGGGGCTACTTGACCTGCCCTAGCAGAAGTCAGTTGCCCTCATAGGCCGCCAAAGCCCTGGAGGCAGGCACGCAGCTGGCGGGACTGTGCGATCCTCCCTGGCAGGAGTCGATGGCAACCGTGGGCCAGGAGGGCTCTGGGAGACGGTGGGGCTCAGTGACCTGACCCAGCAGAAGTCAATCACTGTCAAGGGCCACCAAAGACCCTGAGGTGGACACCTGGTGGGGTGTGTAGCCCTCTGTCCAGCATCAATCCCGGTCACCGGCACCAAGGTCTTGGGAAGTGCAGATAGCAGCAGCTGAGCACAGAATGCGCTGACTGAGGGGGATCGGTCTGCATGCAGAAAGCGTGGATCAAGCAGTTCTCCTGGTGAAGGACTGGGACAGGGGGCTTGGTCTTGCAAGGGTGAGTGGATGCTGTTCTTGGATCTCTTCTCCCTGTCTGCTGGCAAGGGGAGCGAGAGTGGACTGGAAACTCAAAATGGCAGTGCAAATACCAGTTCCACTTTTCTGCCTGGGGGAGGGTGTTCTGAGTCTCAACTGGGTTCCTCCAGGGTGGTAAACTTCCCTGTTAGCAGCTCTCACTCCTGGAGTGAGAGAATATGTCCTCAGTTTATTGGTGGCCTGTAGGAGACTCGAAGGAGTGGTTGAAGAGGAAACAAAGGAAAAGCACACCTTTCTTGGGGGAGGGGATGGGTGCTATTCCTTTGGGGTGATTTATGTACCTGTGGATTGTCCTCTAGGAGTCTCCGCCTGTCTCAGAAGAGGTGTCCTGCCGGTATCACTCTTCTCTCTCAGCTGGGCTCCCAGTTTTCGACTTTGTTGGGGGTTTCTCTGGACTTTATCCTTTCCTCTGAACAGGAGCTTCTGTCGGAGACTAGTGCCTGTCGGCCATCTTGACCACTCCCCCATCTTCTTCTTTAGTGATATAATTTGTTTTGTGATCTAGTATATGGTGTACTCTAGAGAATGTTTCATGTGCTGATAAGAAGAATGTGTATTCTGCAGTAGTTTTATGAAATGTTCTGCAAATGTCTGTAAGGTCCATTTGGTCTAAAGTACAGTTTAAATTCAACATATCTTTTGTTGATTTTCTTAATTATCTGTTCAATGCTAACAGTGGGGTCTTGAAGCCCCACGTATTATTGTATTAGAGTCTATCTCTCTCTTTAGCTCTAATAATATTTGCTTTATATAGCTGGGTGGTTCAGTGTTGGGTTTATGCATATTTACAATCCTTATATCCTCTTGTTGAAATGATCCTTTTAACAGTATATATCATTATATACTGACTTTATTTTTTAATTTGTCTATTTTTGCCTTAATGTCTGTTTTATTTGATATAAATGTGGCTTCTCCTGCTTAATTTGGGTTTCTGTTTTTGTGGAACATCTTTTTCCATCCCTTTACTTTCAGTGTATATCTATATTTGCAGGTGAAGTGAATTTCCTATAGGCTGCATATAGTTGGGTAATTTTTATTTTTTATTTTATTTTATTTTTTCTTTTCTTTTTTTTTTTTTTTTGAGACAGAGCCTCAAGCTCTCCCCCTGGGTAGAGTGCCATGGCATTACAGCTCACAGCAACCTCCAACTCCTGGGCTCAAGCGAGTCTCCTGCCTCCGCCTCCCAAGTAGCTGGGACCACAGGCCCCCGCCACAACACCCGGCTATTTTTTGGTTGCAGCTGTCATTGCTGTTTGGCGGTCCGGGCTGGGGATTTGAACCCGCCACCTTAGGTGTACGTGGCTGGCGCCTTAGCCGGTTGAGCCAAAGGCGCCGAGCCTATTTTATTTTATTTTTTTAGAGACAGAGTCTCACTTTGTTGCCCTCAATAGAGTGCTGTGGCATCACAGCTCACAGCAACCTCCAACTCATGGAGTTAGGCAATTCTCTTGCCTCAGCCTTCTGAGTAGCTGGGACTACAGGCACCTGCCACAACACCCAGCTATTTTCTGTTGCAGTTTGGCTGGGACCAGGTTCGAACCTGCCATGCTTGGTGTATGGGGCTGGCACCCTACTTACTGAGCCACAGGTGCCACCCAAGTTGGGTAATTTTTAAAAATTCAAGAGGCCAGTCTATATTTTTTAAATGGGTAATTTGATTCATTTACATTTAGGGTTACTATGATATATGAGAATTTATTCTTGCCATTTGTTAATTATTTTCTGGCTGTTTATGTATTCTTTTTTTGTTTGTTTTTTGGCCCCTCTTATTTATCACTGTGACTTGGTCTTTTTCTGTAGTGGTATTATTTGAGTTCTTTCTTTTCTAATTTGTATGTCTTCTCTACTAGTGAGTTTTATACTTTTGTGTGTTTTCTTTATGGTGTAGATGTAGGACTCTCTTAAGGATATCTTGTAGGGCCATTATTGGGGTGTTGAATTCCCTCAGGTTTTGCTTGCCTTCATTTTTGAAGGATATCTTTGTTGGCTATAGTATTCCTGGCTCAGAGTTGTTTTCTTGCAACCCTTTGAATATATCATTCCATTCTCTCATGGCTTATAAGGTTTATGCTGAGAAATTCACTGGTACTCTGATGAGGATTCCTTTAAGTGTGATTAGATTCTTTTCTCTTGCTCTTTTTAGAATTCTCTCTTTGTCTTTGACTTTTGACAGTTTTACTATACTGTGTCTCAGAGAAGACCTTTTTGGATTGAATTTACTGGGGGATTTTAGTTTCCTGTTTTAAGATGTCTGTATCTTTTGCATGACTTGGGAGGTTTTCAGCTATTATTTCATTAAGTAGGTTTTCTAAGCCTTTGCCCATTTCTTCTCCTCAAAGCCTCCTAATAATTTGAATAGTAATTGGCTTTACAGTGTCCAACATATGTGGTATCATTTAGACTTTCTGCACTTTTAAAAAATTCTTTGTTTGTTCATGTGTTTCAAAAGACCTGTCTTCAAGTTCAGTGATTCTTTCTTCTGTCTGTTGTTGAAGCTCTTCATTGTATTTTTTATTTAACTTATTTGACTTCTTCAGTTCCAAGATTTCTGTTTGGCTTTTAAAAATGATATCTATTTCTTTGTTTAATTTCTTGTTCAAATTATAAATAATTTTCCTTATTTCTTTGTATTATTCATCTGTGTTCTTTTGTATCTCCCGGAATTTCCTTAAGATTATTGTTTTGAATTCTTTTTCAGGCTTTTTATATATTTTCTTTTATTTGAACTCTGTTACTGGTGAATTACTATGTTCCTTTGGAGTTGTCATGTTTCTTGCCTGCTTCTTATATCTTTACATTGATAACTATGCATCTGGTGTAACAGTTGCTTCTTCTAACTTTATGGATTGGCTTTCATAGGAAAGATTTTTTTCCTATGTGTATCTCTAGTGTTTGTTCATAGGGTGCTTGGGCTTTGATTCTGTGTGGATACAGTAGTGTAGTATCTATATGATTTCTTCAGCTGTAATCAATATCAGTGGTATCTGTGAGTTCCCTAGTGGATTAGTCTTTATTGGAGGCTTTACTGGGGATGGAGATACTGGGTGGGCCAGTTCATAATGATGGCAGTGGTAGGCTGGGTGGATGTGTCCTCAGGCCCCAGGGCAGTGTACATGACACCAGCAGTGGCGGTAGCCATTGTGGGTCAGCCCTTAGGCCCCTTGGGGGGTGCATGTGAACACTAGTGGTTGTGGCAGTGGGCTAGGTTGGCACACATGAATAGCTGGTGGTTACAGGCTGGGTGGGCTGGTGTCTGGGCCCCCAGGAGACAAACATGGGTACCAGTGGTAGTGCTGGGTAGGATGGGCCAATGTCAGTTCATAAAATGCAACCCAATGTTGCATGTGGGTGGTGTTGGCTATTGGGCAGGTTTAGCTTGCCCTTTGCCCCCAAGCAGGCCTATTGAAGGCATGTACTGGCATGTGGTGGCCATACTGCTGGGGTAGCATGGGGTTTCTGTCAATGGCAGCTGCCCCAAGGAGTCAGCTCTCAGGCCATGGGGAGCATGTCTTAGCAGCAGCTTATTACTGTGCTGCACTTCCTGTTCCCCAGGATGTAGGACACTGCATAGGCTAGAGTGCTGGAGACTCAACCACACCACCTGCTGCAGCCCTCTGGGTGGACATGGGGGATGCCAAGTGTACTTTAGGGATGAGGAGATGCAGAGGCTCTTGAGCCTCAGGGCAGGGTATTATCTGGGGAGGCTGGGTTCTCAGGAGGCTATCATGCTTCCTCTGCCTGGGTCAGAGGTAGAAGGTAGACCTAGTGTGAATTCTGGAACTCTCTGGAGCAATTAAGTTGTGTGGAGTTCAGGCAGGTCCTTTGATACTAGATCATTTATGTAACACACAAGTTTACAATAATTGTTCAAGACCATTAATCAACTACACTATTGGGTGACACCTGTGGCTCAGTGGGTAAGCACCAGCCCCATATACTGAGGGTGAAGGGTTTGAACCCAGCCCGGCCAAACTGCAATAAAAAAATAGTTCCAGCTATTTGGGAGGCTGAGGCAAGAGTATTGCCTAAGCCCAGGAGTTGGAATTCATTGTGAGCTGTGGTGCCAAGGCACTTTACCAAGGGCAATAAAGTGAGACTGTCTCTTAAAAAAAAAAAAAATCAACTACACTAATTAAAGATCTACCCCAATTTCTCAATATAACCTGGAAATAAAAGGCATTATATGATAACTCCCATAGTAAAAGCATAATTAAAGGAATTATTATTTTATACACTAATATCTTAATTATTAAGGTTTTGCTTTGAGTAAACAAAATATTCCTCCAGGAACTACTAAGTGTAACTACTTATACATCAAGTTTAGTTTAAAAAACGAATAAGACATTTCAACCTCTGTGTTCAGTTATCACTTTCAGATCAGCCTCACTAAGAACTGTTTTCTCACCAATGCAAAATTTAAAGATAGGATACTGCCCTGCTTCTTCAGTATAAGGATATTTTCTGTGGTATTTCTGCCTT